GCAGTGCCAAGTCAGGGGGAGAAGGCCTGGGCCCTACAAACCAGGGGCCTGGTGGCCCACTGGCAGCTTACCCCTTTGCCCCGGGATGGGCAGGGAAGCTCTGCCAGGAGCAGGATTAGCCCCGTGGATGCTTTTGTGTTCCAGTGGCTTCTGCTGCTGCCAGGAAACCAGGGGCCATCTAGGAAGGGTCTGGCTGGTCTGGGGGACAGTGTCGGGGGGGGGCAGAAGCCACTGTGGGCAGCACAAGCTGGTGTGAGCTCTCATGGGGCACTGGAAGTCCAGGGAGGCTTCCCCAAAGTTGGGTGCAAGTGGCTGCACCAGCATGCTCAGGCTCTGGGCTATTGCAGAGCAGGGGCGGATGCTGACTGGCTTAGTGGGGAGTGTGCAAGGTGCTCCCATGCACTCCCCACATACCCTCAAACCCTGCCCGCATTCCCCACAGCCACACCCTCCTCCACACACAATCACACATCCCACAAATACCCCATACACACGCATCCACTGGTCTCCACAAACCCTACATTTACCCACCTACCCATACCTCAACATTTTTAGACTTGGTGTCCCTCCATAACTCTAGTTCTTGAAATTGGGTGGCAATCAATTCCTAACTGATTTATTAGAATCTTTACTTCCTTATGTAGGGACTGGGCAGTGGGGGCAGAAAAACAGCCAGGCAGGAACTAAGCCTGAGCTTGCACTTATCTCTTCACACCTTACTTATCACCCCACACCTTGAGGCACCCTTCAGAGATCTCTCAGCACCTGTGGGTGCAAAGCAGAGTCATGCAAAGATGGCCCAAACTAGGTATGGATACTGTACCTCTAGAACCAGAAGCTGTAAACCTGTGTTTGCATGGGACACGGCATGAGCAATTAGCTCTGTTTCTTGGTATTTTGCATGACAATAGGATCTTGGCCTCTTAGGAGTTTTCTCGGCTTTTGTTACAGAAAATTCTTCCTTTTTTTTTTTTCCACCCCTCCCTACGTTAAAATCAGTAAACCCAAGCATTGCTTTCAGTACTCCAAACAAAGACCTATGATCTAACCTCAGCTATTTCTATTTCCATTTTGAATTCTAGCCTCAGCTATTTCTCTGACGGATACACTGCCTTGACCAAATTGCTTCGTTTTACTGATAGTTGGAGATTGAGATGATGCACACTTCATAGTGATTTTTGGGGATACTAGATGCAATGTGATATAGTTGGGAGAACTTGAAATAAGTTGTATTTGGACGTGTCTATCAGTGTTCTATAAAATACTCAGTGTATTAGTGTTTGCAGTGCTGTACAAGTGGTATGTATTGGTAGTAAAAAAGAAACGTTTAAATTGAGAAACAGGCAGAAATGAGATTCAAGTTGTATATTCTCTCTGAAGAGCTGGTCTAGTTTTGACATTTTCTTATCAAATTTGCTGCCTGTAAGCTAGTTTTTATATGTAGGATACAGCTGTTATTTTTGTGTGTATTGTCATTTTAAGAAATTGGACTATATCTGCAATTCTAATTTTTAGGCAAGGTTCTTCGAGTAGATGTGATATCTTTTATTAGACCAATTGAGTAGTTGGAAAAAAGTTCTTGGCAAGCTTTCGGGCACAATCACCCTTCTTCAGGCATAAGGGAGTCTTTTGTTCTGAGACTCCAAGGAATGAGAGATGCTAAAAGTATGACAGGATATCAGTGAGAATGTAAATGGGTAGAAGTTTGGAAAACAAAATGTACAGCAGGGAAGGGAGTGGGCAAAAAGCAAGGGGCGGAAAAAAGCTAAAGGGAGTCAAGGAGACTCTAGAGTAATAGTAATTGAAGGTAGAAAAGAGGTTGTCTGTGGAAAAGGAAATAGCTGGAAATTAGGAAGACAAAGGGCAGAAACCTTGCTAACCTCATTACCAGAAGCATACTCCCTATGATCCAAACCACACCTAATGGATCCAGTCCATGCTGGGACAAGAAATACAAAACCTGCCAATACATCTTCACCACCCCCACAATAACTACATCCCACAACAGAACCATCACCATTCCTGGATCTTGCACCTGCACCTCCAGAAATGTTATACATCTCATCCAGTGCATCAAATGCCCTGATGGAAAATATGTAGGAGAAACCAAACAACTGCTTAGCAGAATGAATGCACACTGAAAATCTATTGGAGACAAGAGTACTCAACTACCTGTGGGGGCACATTTCTCACAAGACAATCGCTCCCTCTCCGATCTCTCAGTTCTGATCCTCAAAGGGAACTTACAAAACACCTTTCGTAGACTAGCCTACGAATTTCACTTCGTAAATCTACCAGATACAAAAATCATGGACTCAATATAGACATTTGATTTATGACCCACTACAGCCTGCCTGGTATGATTCATGAGGTACCTGCCTGACCTGACCTCATATACTTTTCTCTTCCTGCCCCCACTTTCCTTTCCTCCCCTCCCCTCCCCTCCTTTTCTACCCTTTGTCTTCCCAATTTCCAGCTATTTCCTTTTTCACAACTGACGGCCTCTTTTATTCCTTCAATTACTACCACTGTAGAGTCTTCCTGACTCACCTTTTGGCTTTTTTTTCTCCCCTGCTTCCCTCCCCCCTCCCCTATTTCCCTGCTTTACCTTTTGTCTTCCGAATTTCTACCTATTTACCTTCTCATTGGCATCCTATCACACTTTTAGCTTCTCTCATTCCTTGGAGTCTTAGAACAGCAGAGACTCCCCATGCCATGGAACTTTTTTCCAAGTACTCAGTTGGTCTAATAAAAGATATCGCATCTACCCAAAGAACCTTGCCTGCCTATGTCCTTAGACGAACACAGCTACAACCAAAAACCCAGCATTCTAATTTTGATTTATGATTAACTTTTTAAAAAGAAAAAAAAATGCATAATTAGTACTCAGAGGGTTCCTCTTTTATGAAACTTAAAACACATGGCATCAGAGAATAGCATTCTTTTCTAACAAAATATTGTTGTCAAAGAGATAATGCCATGCATTAGCTTCTTAAATCTTTTGTTACCTGTTCTAGGGTGTATTTACACATGCAGTCTAATGTGACTGGATATACAACAGCTCAATTTGAGCCGGAGTAAACTAATCCCGATGTCATCATCTACACATGTTTAAGCATAGTAATTTACCGTGCTGTTGGGTACCACTTGTATCTGACTGGACTGTCTGGCAGCGCAGTAAATTTAGTCTATGGCACCTTAATTGTATGTGTAGATGGTGACATTTTACTGCACTGCAAATTAGTCTGCACGGTAAAGCGTCTTGTGTAGACATACCCTTAATGTAGCAAGTATGCTAGTCTAATTTCAGACATTTGTCAGAGGAAGGAAAGTAGCAGGATTTTACAGTGTGAAGGATTGGGTGAGCACCTGGATTGAAATTCTGGACCTATTCATATCAATGGAGGCTGGATTTTTCCCCCTCCAGTTTTTTTCTGTGAAGTTTTACTTGTAGCTAAGCATTGTAAAACTAAGAAATTGGGCATTTGTTTAAAAAAATGAGATGGAGAATTACTAAATCCTGACTGTAGTAAACTTGAACCACTCTTTGTCTATAATAGAAGTGTATTTATACTTCTCAGAGAACAGAAATGTGATGCAGTTGGTAGGTTCACCAAATCCATGGATGATGGAGTTAAAGAGTTGCTGACGGTGGGACAAGAACACTGGAAGCGTTGTACAGGACGTGAGTGTTACTTGGAAATTCTACAAATTTAGATTCGCCTTCCTTTGCAGGAAGAGGGTTTTTTTCTGTTTGTATATCAAATAAGCACATTTTAAGTTTACAGAGTCTGAGAGAATTCTAACCTATACTGAAACATTATTTAGTTAAGTATTCAGTGCCCCAAAAGGCCAACAGCTTTCTTACCCCAACTCAGAAAGTAATTGGTCTTCATCCACCAATATCTTTTATATTATTCTGAACTACCAACCAGAGTCATTGCTGGACGATCTGTCTCAATTGCATTTGTCTTTCAACCAGGTTTTGGCAATATAAGCAAAGAAAAAAAAATGTTGATCAAGTCTGTAGATGGACACTTTACTAATCACAGATCAAGATGCTTGTGTACCAGTTAAACTGATTTAAAGCTGAAATAAGGAGCCAAGACTAAAGTCTTGATCCTTATTTATGCCTTACCCCAATTGTGTTATGTTTCTTGTCCAGGTTCACTCTCCACAGATAACTTGGGGTGCAAAATTTCATGCCAGTCCTTTGTCTCTACTTGGGCCTTACATTTCTAGCACACAGGAATTTCTAGCATCAAGAATTCTGGTCACTCAAAGTTTGGCTAAAAAGAAACATTGCCACAGCTCAGCACTGTAATGAGGATCTCCTAGTGCAGGCTGCATTGCCCACCTACCTTATACCAAAGACCTATCAGCCAAGAATAAACCTCCCTGTATTTTTAAATTATTATCTAACTTTATTGGCTTTCCACTCCCACAGGGCATTTGGTACCCAACCTATTGATCCAAATATGGAGTGTTAGTCGGTTACTATTTCAACTTAATCTAATAACTCTTCACTTTTAGGCAGGAAAACCCCTCTGATCTAAATGCCTGCAAGTTCAGTCTCTGTAGTTGTGATTGCGTGGGACTTTCATACCCATACATAAGCAAGAATCACTCCATTTAAAAAAAAACAACACCTTTCTGTCCTGTCCTTACTGTTATTAAAACAGCCTCTCAAATATGCCTCTTCACCTCTTACATAAAAGAGGGGGACACCATCCCTTTGCCAGTAAGATTGAAAAGGTCTAAGCCTAAATAAGATGCTTTATCTCACATCTTAGGGTCATTTTGCATCTTTCTCTTTGTTTTGATTGATCATAACATAGAATAATACAGATTCTTCCAAAAAGTCCATAAAGGTTAACTATATGGACATCTTGTCCATGAGCAATATTTGAGGAAGTTGGGTTGAAGTTAAACTTAATCACTATCTGTTCATACTGGGAGTTCATATCAGTAATTTAAGGTCAGATACATTACACAGATGTTGCACCATTCCCCAAAACAAGTGGCTGAGGCTAAAATCGAAAAAAAATCCAAATATTTGGACATATGCAAATAAATTTGCCTGCGGTGACACCATGCAGTAATAATGCAATTAAGATTAAGGCATTTTGTATGCTTGTAGTGTAATTTAGTGCAGATTTGCTCTTGGAGATTTTGAGTACCACAGGAATTGGGAGTTTCTTTTCATGTATTTTCTGAGCTCTGTTTGCGTGTGTTTGATGTATTGACTTTCATAATATTTGACAGTGATTAAAAATGCTGGAAATATAAGTGAAAGAAGGAACAAGAAATTTTCTGTATTGAAGCTGCCCCTGAGGTTACAGTGCTAAATTAAGAGAAGATATGTTTGAATTAATGGGATACAGCAGAGGCATAGTGTCTGACATAGTATCCATCACATAAGAAATACCAATCACTATAAATAAAACCCAAACCAGAATGCATTAAATAAATAATTTGTTGGCAAGGACTTTACCAAAGAAGTTAACTTGAGGATGCTAAGAGACCCATTGTGTGATGGCAGAAGACAAGGCTTCTTCCCAGGACTGCCTGCAAATTACCAAAGCAACCACTTGGTTTCTCTTCTGCCCAGACAATACATTCCCCAAGTGCAGATGTTTAAAAATGAAAAACAAATCCACTTCTGTCCTCTTTGCAATTATTTGTAAAAAATACTTCAAGTGTGTGGGTCTAGCACATGAATTATGTGTACAGTTCAAAACTTAATTTCCACAATAAACCTCAGCTTTTAACTTGATTGTAAGGAGGTAATTTCTGCATGAATATTTGATGAGCTTTATATACTGTCACCAAACTGTATAATCAGATACAAGCACACTTTATTTGCCTCATAGCTTGTTTTCCCAGAATATTTTGATTATTTTCTACTTTCAGAGTTTAAATGTAAAAACCCTGATGGGGCTAGGGTGATTAAAAGCTTTAAAAAATTATGGAAATGTGCAATACAGACATTAGTCCAAGACACGATAGACACAAATATTTTTTTTCTTTACATACGTGTGTGTGTGTGTTTTTGTGTGCACACTTGTGCACAGATGTATGCACGTCGTCATATACAATTGCTACATTTTAAAGTATAATTGCATATGTACAACATGATTTAAGGTTATCTTGACTTTTTAATTGATTGTATTTAGGTCTGGATGTGCACTACTACTGTTAGTGGATAGACCTGAAACGTTTCTAAACTAACTAAAAACTCAGCAAGATAAAAATATTAAAATAGTTACCATTTTAGTTTGGTAGCTGAAACCAGCCTAAATAATCATAAATTTGCAGATGGCAGATGCTAAAAGATTTTTTTCCCCCAAAATGTTTGATTTGAATGGTTATCATGTAATGGGAATGTTACACTTATGCTGAAGCTTAGAGCAGCTTTTATTTATTTACTTTTTTCCCTTTGTTCAGCATTACCTAAGGAATATCAGAAGATAGGAAAAGCCTTGCAGAGCCTGGCACTGGTTTTCAGCACCAGTGGCTATCAAGGTATTTTTACCTTTATTTGCACTTTGCTTTGGTGTTATAAAATGTTTAAAGAACTCTTAAATATAGAAAAGACTATTATTTATTATCATTTTGGGCTCTTAATTAAAAAGACATTTTAAACCTTTCGGTTAATTTCTGAGAGTACCTATCCCTCATTTCAAACGGTGCATTATGTAATGTAAAGCATGGAAACGAGACTTCAAACTGATATATTTTTAATTACTTTTTTTCAGTGTGAAGTATTTTATGGCAGAAGTCTGATTTAATATTAATATATAACCTGGTTATTGACCTTATAGCCTATTGGAGCATTTCTGGGATGACCCATACTTTTATGGCACATTAAAAGTGAATGGATGTAAAAACCTGTCCTGTCAGAAAAATGCAGTGACATTTTTAAAACGTTGTTAATTACCGATCCCTGTTTCCCTGATTTCAGGATATTATTTTAAGAGCCCTATCTAGCTATCTGTAAATGGAATTTGTCATGTCTAAGCATGGGAATGAGAAAGAAGGGAATATGCATGAAAGAATTAATTGGAAACAGTTTTCTTTTTGTGGGTTTTCGTAGTTTATCCTGAAAAGTCAGTATTTGAGACCAAATTAAATTTCATTTTACTGTGTTTCTAATAGGCTGGCTATCATGGTCAAGATTTACTTGTTTATGCATACATTGATTATCATCTTAAAGACATCAGTAGTAAAATCTCTGTATTTTTAATATACCCCTATTGGAACGTTAGCACAGTGCTGTATCACCCACTTTTCAAGGGAGCTGAACAGGATTATTGGCCGCTAACTTTTCTAGTGTTTTCTTAAGCAAAGATTTATAGAAAAGATTAATCAGTATGGCAAAAGACCTGTTTGTTCCTTGTTTGTTTGTTTTTATTTTTCCCTGAATCCTTAAATCAATGCTGAAAATTTTTTTTAAGACTTCATCTCAAAATGAACCTGAATGTTTTAATACCGTGAACGTTTTCCCACTGAACTTCTTTTCAAAGAATTTCTGTTCTTTTTTTCTCCATTCTTTTTATTGACTGATGTTTCATACTTGCTGAATTGTTAGTAATATTATTCCAGCTGGGATTTATAATTTGCTTGCAGCTAATTGGTCCCTTGCATTGTATCTTCCTATAAGCTTGTGTGGTAGCTTTTTTTTTTTTCTGTATTGATGTTCCCATGGTTTAGGTTTTTTCTTTGTGTATCATACTTTTAAATAAGTAACAATCATACTTCTTAAGAGATCTGTCTAAAAACCTGGAATTTGGTATGAGATCCAAGAAGAGAAAAATTACAATGCAGCCTTGGGCTGTGTATAGGGTTAGAAGCATACAAATCCTTTTTGGACCCAAACAAAGCCAGTAGCAAGAATTCTTGGGAAGGGACTGACATTTGACTTCGGTAACTATATCATGTATATTCTTTTACCAGGGTAATTTGAAAACAATGTGGCTTAGAAAGCTAGGATGCAAACTTGCAGATCAGCCTTATGAAGGAAACCTGCAATTTGATTTCCAACATCTTCAAATGGTATGAAAAATAGACCATGGTAAATAGCAACTAGGCAGAGCTATCCCCCTTTGTTCTCCTAGTTGGACATGGTTGCACCCTAGTATCTTGCTAAAAGAAATAGCTTCCTTCTAGTGGAGATCCTGTGTCCTTGCTCCCATATATTTCACTTGTAAATACACTTAGCATAATAGACTTTTTTTTTTAATTAAGAAATATGAGATTCTCTGCTTCACAGCCTGGTTCCCAGAAAAAGAGAAAAGTTACTTAAAGCAGTCAACATGCACAACTTCATCACTACAGGTTGTGGTGCTTTGCCCACTGTTAGCAGCCACCATATGAGATCAAGTTATGGAGCTGGCCCTGCAGAAGAATCAAGACAGACACATGAATGGATATAAAGCCACCGCCTGCAAATGTATTCACTTTCTAATATTAGAAAGAGGGTGTTGACTCCTCCTTGGTGTGGTTTTGCCTCCTTCCCTCCCTAACAACCAAGCTTTAATTGGAGCTTAGTGTGGGGTTAAATGGCTTCTGACCATGCAATTAAAGGATAATGATTGCATTGCCCTACCACTCAATACATGATTTGGCTCACTGTTGACTAAAGATAAGGGAAAACTTGGTAGAGAACTCAATTTAAACATGTGCATCTCGATCCACAGGTGCATCTCGAGTAGAGCCAGGGAGGTGATCCTCCCCCTCTATGCGACGCTGGTCAGGCCGCAGCTGGAGTACTGTGTCCAGTTCTGTGCGCCCCATTTCAGGAGGGATGTGGACAACATGGAGAGGGTCCAGAGGAGGGCCACCCGCATGATCCGGGGACAACAGGGCAGACCCTACAGTGAGAGACTGCGGGACCTGAACCTATTCAGCCTCCACAAGAGAAGGCTGAGGGGGGGACCTGGTGACCATCTATAAACTCACTAGGGGGAACCAGAAGGGTTTGGGGGAGACGCTGTTTCCCCTAGCCCCCGCTGGCATAACAAGGAGTAATGGGCACAAGTTGATGGAGAGGAGGTACAGATTGGACATCCGAAAAAACTACTTCACAGTTAGGGCGGCTAGGAGCTGGAACCAACTTCCAAGGGAGGTGGTGCTGGCCCCTACCCTGGGGATCTTTAAGAAGAGGCTGGATACTTACCTGGCTGGACTCATTTGAGTCCCGTTTTTGTTTTTAGGGTTTGTTTGGTTTTTTTTGGTTTTTTTTTTTGGGTTGTTCTCCCGCCCTGGCGGGGGGGCGGGCTAGAAGATCTATTAGGTCCCTTCCGACCCTAAAACTATGAAACTATGTAGGCCACCTGTCCTTCTAAAGTTCTCTACTCAAGTAAATTTGGTGTTGGCCCATTTTATGGTTCAGGGCCTCATTCCTACAGTCCACCCTAAATTCTACCAGAAGTTTGATTTCAAATGAAGCCTGGTACAAATACTTTCTCCCCTAAATGGACTACCAGCCTGCTAAGTGCAGTGTGAAATGTCCACTAAGTAATGCAAGTAAGTCATGAGGTGGTCCTACATTCTGTTACTGTTGTCAAAATAATGAGGATAGTTTTGGTTCTGCTTATAACCTTCTGAACTAGCCTCCTGCTTTCGAACTTGGAGCACCATTGTGTGTCCACAAGTCCAGGCAGTTGTCTCTTCACTCTCGCCCACTGAAAATGGTAAACCATTGTTAGTCCACACCACCTGCTTTCTCTGATAGCCTGTATTCACACTACAAAAAGGACGTCTTACATTCTGATTTCTAGTAGCTTTTAGCCTAGAATGTCCAGAAACTCATGCCCACCATGGCTATGCCAGTCCTGAAGGATTGTGTGCTCAAATTTACTAGATTAAGTACTAGAGAAGGAAATCCTTGTCAATTAACTGTTAGTTTCAAGCATGTGCAGGAGGTCTTCAGGGGCCAGAAAGAACACCTTCTAGCTTTTAGTGGACACACTTATTCCAGATATTTTTTTGAAAAAGTTATGGTCTTACGAACTCCCTGATCCACTTCAGGAATCTCTCCGTTAAACACCCAAACTTCTGTCCAAGCGGTCCCAGAGTACTCCTGGAGATGCTGTTCCTTGTCAAATGTATAGGGAGTACCAGAAACCTTAAAAAGTATTGTCTTTTGACATTGCCAAAAAAAAAAAAAGGTGGAGCAAGCTCCTATCTACACCTGGAAAATCTGAATGGCTGTGGAGGCTGGCAGTATACCTGAGTTTGCTGGTCATGTCTCCTATCTTCAAGGAAATCCTTAAATAAAAGCTCCCTCGTGATCATACACATCCTGGCAACTGGCACCAAATAAACTAGGCCAAAAGGTGACTAGTTTTATGTCGGATGCTGCTAACCTGTAGTTATTAGTCACAGCACTTATCTTGCCACCTGAAACTCAGGCTAAATAAGAGCTGCCTTTTTCTGCATCCATTATCCTGATGAAACCTGCCTTGAAAATTTGTAATGTCCTTGACAGAAGACTCTACTGTTCCAATTTTAGGGTTGTCAGGATCCATGTGTCTATAGAAAATGGTTAGCAACTTGTAAGCAGTTGTAAGTGGCAAATGTAATTCGTTATCAGGGTCTGCCTTCCAGAGAGAGTAAACTTTAGAAGACTGACTACCCGTGCTACAAATATTTGGTAAAAGATAGTTAATAACAGTGCAACACTGATTCTTACATACTCCCTTATTTGCACTGACTTTACAAATTGCCGCTTAAATTACATATGCTCATTTCAAATTAGTGCTTAGGCCACTTGAGAACTCCTTCTCCTTCTTAATATACCCAGTTACCTGTTTTTTTAAAGGTAACAAATAACTGTACTTCCGAATCTCCCGTTGGACTGCTAATAACTCCTCAGTGAACTGCCTCAAAATTCCCTCCTCCACCACTAAATCTTCCCTCATCTTTGTCACAATGATAGGGATAAGAGTTGAATGTCCTGAAGGGTAGATGCTGGGTGTTCACAGACTGCCTTGCCATGCATGTCATGATCATGGGCAATCCTTGGACATAGCCTTTATCAAAATAAACCTCAGACTGAAAACTCAGATCTATGGGGGTGAATCTGCCTGGGGGAAGAACATACGTGGCACCTTACCAGCAAAACATCCTAGACGTTTTTAGCCTGTCCACCACCTCCTTGAATGAGAGGTAGACTGAGAACAAAGTTTAATGCTGTGTTCACTGGAGCCTGAGGACACAAAGTAAAATAAACATGTACAGCTGATGGGATCCTATGAAACCACATGGGCAGCTCCTCAGGCTGTCTCGCTATGCTGAACTACGAGTCCCTGTTGGAGCTCATCCTTAACTACATGGTGCAACCCCTAATCTGACATCAAATTTTTATATCAAATGTGAATACTGTCCTATCAGTATGGACTTAAATACCTGTACAAACATCTGCCTAGTACTTTCTGTTGGCAGTTGGCTCTTCACTGTGTTTAACTTAACAAAGGCGGGGTGGTGTTGTATACGTTTTCTCCCTCTCTAGTGCCCACTCTTTCAAGGGAAGCCTACATATGCTCTGTAGAAAAGTAGAATGTGGCTTACTGCTGAGGATGTTCTCTACATTTTGCTTTATTTTATGTAATTTTGCCCAAAAAATGAAAAAAAGAAATACTTCTTGTTGCTTGTGTATACCATCCTGTCACTGGGAGCAACACCTGCATCAGTTTGTCACGTGCCCCCTTGCTCCCTTCACCCTCAACTGCCTGCATTGATGTGGATGATGGTTATGGTACAGATAATTCTCTTCTGACCACACTTGTGCTGTCCTTCTTTTACAGCCTGATTCCCCAGTGAGGGAGTGGGCTGGGATGATGCATCTCTGCCCTGTAGATCTGGTGTGCTCCTGTCCATGAAGGTGCTGGACTGGCAGAGAATTAGCTCCTGTCTCTGATAAAATGGGAAGACGCACTGTCGGCATTCTGGAAATTGGTTGTCTTGTACTAGATTTTTCCACGGTAGCAGACTTCCTATTCTAATTCATCAGTTCCCCATCTTGTCCCATAGTGAGTTGTTTAAAGTCAAGTGACTGTCCCTGGAAAACTAAAATTCTTAAGGGAAAGAAAGGAAATTTCCCTCCTGAACCATAGAGAAATGGTTTCAATATATGAAAGTATTTCTGAATTAACAAGGCATTTTGTTGTTGTTTGTGGGTTGTGTGTGGCTTTTTCTTTTAACTTGTGAAGAAAACCATCATAAAGACTTTCATTCCATTACTGGGCAGGCAGAAAATACGGTAGTAAATGACTTCAAAATTAGGAGAAAAAAGGACTTTTTTAAAGCATCATGCTGAATGTTGACATTCAGATGTTATTCTGCTTCTGACTCTGGCAGTGTATCTAGGAGCTCTTCAGTTTTTTTTGAAGTTGGAAGAAGTCTGCACGTTGCCAGTGAAATGCAATAAAATTACTCTGTCACATTCCTATTTTCTTTAGGATGTACCCTGATTTCAGTATACTTTTCTTAATCTCTTTGGCTGCATCCAGATGAACGTGGCTGTGTGGTATGTGGCGCCGCAGACAGGTCTGCAGCACCACATACTGCATGTTTCATTGTTCTCCATACTGTGAGGGAGCACCATGGGGGCTTTTTGGACCCCTGGATATCCTGTGGAGAAAAAAAGTGGTGCGGCACACACGGCAGCAGTGTGCACCACCTCAAGCTGGAGTCTGGATGGCTGGAACCACACTCTGCTGCCAGCCAGGCTCTGTGTGGCAGCATTGCTGCTACTGCAGCCCTGGGAGGCCCCCAGTTAAGGCCACTGGTGCCAGCCCAGTCTTGACCCCAGCCTCTCCTACCCCACCTGGGGTAACTTGCTGTGTACCAGTGTGCACATGGCACAGGGGACAGCTAGCGGTACCGGTGCTAGATGTCCCCAGGGGACCAAACGTTCACACACATTGGACATAGCCTTTGTCCCAGGCGCAGAGCAGCTCACAAATGAGAAACGGTAACTGTTCAATTTTAAATTGGTTATCATTTATACACAGATTTCTTCAGTTGCCAGATATTAAACTCCTTGAAATACATAATAATTTGACTGATAGCAAGTAAATAGGCTCTTCAGAAGATTACGATTATAAAATCTGTGAAGACGCAAGCCTATTGACTTAATCATACCTATAACAATATTGTCAAGGGTCTTCTGTGGGGACAAAAAACAGTTAAGTCCTTTTAATTGGAAACACACCCTGTCCCAGTTTCCTTCCTTTTCCAATACTTGAAGCCTACCATGTCATGGTCCAGAAAATAATTTCTCCAACTGGTCAAAAAACCTGAACAAGCTAGTTCCAGGATGAAAAACTGGTGAGCATTTTTCAGGAACAAACCTAAAATGTCTAAAGAAGAGAATTCCATGATTACAACTTTCTGCATCAGTGTACAACATAGTGCTACAGGGCGCCTATGCATATGCATTGAATGCTGGAATTACAGTGCATCGGAGCAGACTCGATTTAATAGAGTCTGCTAAAACATGGTAATTACGCTACGTTCCATCAGACTCCAGCTTCATGCATATCAGTGTCCCTGCACTGAAAAATGGCAGTGGGGGTGCTGTAACTAAGCTCATTCAACAATCTTTAGTTAAAGCGCCCCTGCCACCGTTTTTCTGCGCAAGGACACTGATGCATGTGATGCTCCAGGCACTTTAATTAGAACAGCTCTCAGAGCCACTCTAATTAAAGCCCTCCTCCCACCCACCTCCTGGAGCATGTATGTAAACGTGTGTAGACCCTAGCGTCTAGTGCTACAATGCTAGTAGTTCAGTGTTACCAGCTCTCACAGCATCTCATTTTTTTTTTTCCTCTTAAAACCTTAACTCCTGGAGGCATGTGACTTGTGAGAAGCTCGTTTTACATTTTTTAAAGTAGTTTTCTACAACTAAAGTGTTCCCTAAATGCTTAGAAATCAGATGACAAAGCATAAAACAATCCAATGTGTTGTAGTGAGTTTTTGAGGGTGGGTATAACTTTTATGACTTGGAATGTTTGGGGTTTGCACTACTGGTAATCAAGACTATCAAAAGCTATTATTCATGAAGTATAACATGCACATTAAAAAAAATCTCCTGGCTTTAAATCTTCCCTGTCTTCAGATCTTTCCCTGTTCCTGTAAGCTTGCCTTAACCAGTCCTCTGACAATCCTGATCTTTCCTTTTTAAGGGCAGTAATTACTTTTAAAATGTGTTTGAGTTAATAAAAATATTAAAGTACTGGATATTGTAGCTACTTATCTGTGATATAGAACAGTGTTTAATCCTACAGGCATTCACTTCTACAAGTTATTTGAAGGCTTCCCCTTTTCTGAGTTGTATACCAGAGTTCAGTAATGCTTTTACCTTTTTTCTTTTCTATAATTATTAGCTATTTATAAATAACCAGTTACAACACACAGGTTTTTATTATTTTAGAACAGTGAAACTTTAAATTGGTTAATGCTTTCGATTCATCAGCTTAATGACTTAAATTTAATCTGAATACTTCAAATTTTATGTTTAGGAGAATCTGATCTCAATGAAGCAATAACAGAAGCAGGAAAAACATATGAAGAAATTGCCAATCTTGTGGCAGAACAGGTATAAATAATCTAATATAGTATCATGGATTGATCTGCATACTCTGTCAACTTATAATTAATTTACTTACTTTTATTCCCTTCTGATTTTTTTTTTCTTGTGGAATTATTTAACATTTTATGTACATAAGTAGTTTGCAATAACTGTTTTTCTTAATTGTATAAATCATTAAATAACATTTTAAATGGTATATCTTCCCTACCATATATTGGCTAGAGAAATAGTGATAGAAAGAAATTCCTTTTGAATCTCAGTTTGCATGCTGTCCTTCAAGAGATCGAACTAAGGTTTCCGAATTCTCTGAAAGATCGCTCTCTGATGTCACTGTCCACTGTCTCCCACTGAAAATGTCATTGCTCAAGCTTAAATTTAGCTTTGTTTAGCTAGCACCTGATGACTATTATATTTGGTTTCTAGACTGCAGTGCATCTTACAGAAGACATCGCGTTTACCCAAAGAACCTTGTCTTTTTTCCAAATGTCTTATATTAGAAAATAGCCATTTTCTAAAAACCTGACCTTTTTGTAGTGAGTAGCTGGTCAGATGTGTTGCATGCTTGGTGTGCATCTACAAAACAAAAATCACCCTTTGCGTTACTTTAGGAGCAACAAAAAATTAGACTGCTGCTTGTGTCACTGCAGGGGTTGAAAACCTCTCAGTGAGACTTGGAAATAAAAAGCTGCAATAGTGAATACAAAGCAAAGCCAAAAGCATTTAAAATGTGGTATTCAATGTGTTATGTTGATGATCTCTCTAGATTTGATTAGAAACCTGTACTTATGTTCCCTGATATTCCTGCATATCTAAAATGGAAAGATCTTCACCTTAACACTAACATAAATATTTTCACTAAAAATGTGATGTTAATGGTATTTTTTTTTTAAATCAACAAACTCTTACTTTTTTGTTACCTTAAACTAGCAACCTTTCCTTTGAGCAATAACTTGCTTTTAAATAGAAAAAACATTGTTGAAACTTTTCCATTTTTTTCTATATGTGACATTCTCCTTACAAACCAACTTTTATTCAATACACAAATTTCTATTAAATTGTGATGGTAATGTATGATTCTTTGTTAACACATGCTGTATTTCCTCTATTAGCCAAGGAAGGATCTCCATTTTCTGATGGAAACAAATCATGAATACAAAGGGTTTCTTGGTTGCTTTCCTGACATTATAGGAGCTCACAAGGTACTTTTTTTTTTTTTAATAAAGGAAGTTGAGGGGATATTAGGGTAGGGGTGTAGAATCAGTATATTTTCCTTCAGTCAGAGATATAATTTTACTAAACATATATGTTGTCAGTAATATTGGGAGTTTTGTATGAAAATGGCAAGAAAATATTTAAAATATGCGATCCTCCTATGATGGGGAGAATTTAATATTTTTTAGCTTCGAAAAATGGCTATTACCCAATTTACTCAAAACCAAGACAAGGGATGTTTCCCATTTTAACAGCAGGGTGTGTGGTGCCCCTCATCTTGGATTTGAGTACAAGGCGAGGGCAGAGGTACAGCTGCTGCCCCCCTAATGGCCTCTGCCCTCTCCCACCCACTCCCTACTGTGTCTTGCCTGATCACCCTCTGGCCCAGGGTACAGTGCAGTGTTAGCAGCTTTGGCATGGCTGGTTTGGGACAGGCAAAATCATGTGTTCTCTGCTCTGGCCTGGAGTGAGCTTGGTGCTGGTCAGAGGCAGGAGGTAAGTGGCATGCACTGGGGGTGGGGGGCAGGCAGGAGGAGGGTGGTAATGGTTGGGTTCAGAGGGAAAGGGGGCAGGCACAGAGAGGGGCCAGGCCACTAGACTCCCCTGCCACCCTCCCTTGCTGCTCTGTGCCCTGCCACAGCAGTGGGGAGGGGATGCAAATTTAAGACAACCCTCCAATGATTAGATTCTATACATGGAAAATTATAACAAACTTATAAATGTTGTGATGTGAAACTCGACCTCTATTTTTATCAAAGTCAAGGGCTATGTAAATATCATGATAAATGGTCCTCTTGCGAGATGTTTCTTGAAATAGTTTGAATTTCACAGGCCTTTTAACAAATGCTGTGGAACACAAATTATAGGTCCTAAAAGCATTTGAAAGTTTGAGGCATTCAAATGTCTTCCTCTTACAATTCTCTTTTCTTAAGCTTTGCCTTTTCAACTCTGTATCAAAACTACTTCTAGTGTGTTTGTGCTGTCTGCTTCAAAACCAGTCTGTGCTCATGTCACCCCCTGTCAGCTGTTGGTATAATTAAACATGAAACAATCCATTCTGAGGGGAAAAAATATATTGGAAAGCAGAGTCTGTCTTTACGTGACAAAAAAGCTTATGCTCCCTCCTAGCATCACTTGTGTGGTTTTTTTGACTTATGTGAACTTCACAGCAGTTTCATTTTTATTTTAACAGGGAGTAATAGAAAAAGTGAAGGAAAGTGACAAATTAGTCGCGACCAGTAAAATCACACCACAAGACAAACAGAACATGGTGAAGCGTGTAAGCACCATGGCTTATGCACTACAAGGTAAAATTTGTCCCCTTACTTCAGATTTTGAAAGGCTAAAATAATCTTCAAAGATTTTTTTTTAAGGAAATACTTATGCTGTATTCATTATTATATTTAAAAAACACCACCCCAAAAACCTAGTCATAAAATACTCTTCCTCAGTATTAAAACATTTTTACAAAGGAGGTGAGTTTCCCCTCTCTCTAAAAGGGAGGATAAGGAAATGGAAGCACAGTCAAGGAGTGATGTCTTTTTTAGGGTCACTGCAGGGCAGACACTGAGCTAGAAACGGAACCCAACTCCCCTGAGCCCAAGTTGGATACCCTAGCCACAGGGTCAGAGCAATTTTTTGAGACTCTTGCTAGAGAAATGTGCTCCTCAGTAATGTTCCTTAGCTGCCTAGCAGTGAGAATTTGAGTATGATAAAAAGCAAATGACACTTTAGTTAATACTGAAATACAAGTGTGGATAAGCAAAATAGTACAATTTTGGCAAACCCTCTTTTTAGTTTCAAAGAACAAATAGTAGGGGCTTTTTGTGTAGAAGAATTTTGGGAAATTCCCTATCGAAGGGGGATGGGGGGGACGGACATAAATATTATGTTACAGTATTAGAATACCATTATACTAGTAACTGAGTATGGATTCTTAAGAAGACTTAATGATGCAACCAATTTTGTATTTTAAAAAATTATCCACTCCCTTAATGGAAGGTTAAAGTTCAGTTCTGTCTAGAGTACTTTCAGATTTCCCATCCTCCTCCAACACCACTCTGGGCAAGGCTAGACAAAGCTGCTGCTTAGTTTCATTCTGACCCATATCTTTTAGAAAAGTTGCTGTTTTACCTCTGGAAATAAAATGGAGGCTCTCCTTTTACTGAAGCAGAGGAAAGGGAAGGATTATAAAATAGGATGCATTAGGACCCAGATTCCAGGAAGTATTTAAACATGCATCCTGGATCAACCCTTCATATCAGCTGAGGTTCCATCTTGTTTTATTTTTTGAATGTTTGGGCTCCAGAAGCATACGAGGGAGTTTCCAGCCTTGAATTCCTAACTTGTTCATTTAGGGTCCAGTCCAGCAAGGTATCAGGCACTTGGGGCTGTACACCACTCCTTGACTTCACTGGGATTACTCGTGCTTAGAGTTGTGTGTGTGCTTGGCCAGGGCAGTGTCAGACTCCAAGCCTGAGAGTAATCACTAACAGTTAACAAAGGGAACTTCTGTTAGTATGTTGACCAGGAGGAAATGATGCACAGTTGGGCTTTGAGAAATAACAAAAGTGGTGAAGGGTGGGGGAAAGAAAAGGGGACCTTAGGATACCAAATCTTCCCTCTTCTTCCAGCAGCATTCTGAAAAAACTGTTTTCTATATAACAACTTGGACACAAGCTAGATTTCCTTGTTCTGTGATCCAGTAAGATCTTGCAAGCTAAATAATAGTCAGCCATGGTCTATAGTTGAATGGGAGATCAAGAAACACTAAGATACTGCAAAGGTGTGGAGGAGTTGGTGACATTATTCCTTCTGAGTCCCCCCCCCCCCCCCCAAAAAAAAAAAAAAAAAAACAAACAAACTAGTGTTTCTGTGGAGCATTGAGTAACTCTGGTGGTGGTATAGCATATGAACTAATTAACAAAAATGGCTAATTTTGACTCTTAAGATACTAGATATTAACGCTAACATCCTGGTCAAATTCCAAATCAAGCAGTTGCATTTTGAATAGCATTTTTAAGATGGATACTTTTTTTTGCTTCCTTTACTGAACTGGTGGGCTGCTGTGTACTGCTGCAGAAGCATCAGCTCCCCAGAGATGCCTGCATTTCAATGCTAGATCTCCTGTGTATGCTTTTTACCTAGTGAGAGGCTTAATATGTTTGGAAAAATCACTAGAGGAGTAGGAAGCAGTATTACCCCAAAAATAATGGTAGCAATTGGGTTGAGTGCTGAACTTGTCAAACAGTTAGTAATCCAAATGGAGTGAAACTTGTTCTTGTCAATGAGCATTTTTCTGAGCTAATTAGTGTCCTGGGTTTGATTACAGCTGAGATGAATCACTTCCATAGTAACCGGATTTATGACTACAATAGTGTGATCCGCCTCTACCTGGAGCAGCAGGCACAGTTTTATGAAACGGTAAGGTGCAGCATTTCAATGGCGTTTTCTCAACACATGCTGTGTTGCTGCTTTTATTGGTAAGAAAGACTAGCTGCGGTTAGTACTCCTTTGTGTGCACAACTTTTCTCCTTTTAAAAGCAGATGTTTGAAGGGGAATTTTATATTGGTTAAAGATTCAAGAATAAAGGATAAACTCAAACAACATTACTTATAGATACCATTACAAAAAAAAGATAGCATTTGAAACTTTACTGTATAAAGTTAGACCCAAAATAATTATAAGAGTATTATATTGCTTACAAAGTCAAGCATTTAATATTTGGGCAGTGCAAGAGTTTAAGGCTGACTGCAACCTTAATCTGACCCTTCTTAGGTGCATATTCATTATAATGCAGACCTTAATTACATTAATAACATATTTGGTCCCATGGGACGCAGGCTTCATTCAGTGCATGGGATAGACAAAACATAGTAAGCAGCTATTGTTTTGTTCAATGTGTTGCACCATTCCTTATTTATTGCACACGACTCAAGCCCTACTTCAGTTATAAAATCCTCAGTTTCCTCGCTCTTTTATGGTACTCAACTGAAATAAATGGGGGCTGTGCTTTGAGTACCTGTATGGTACTAAATGCTCTGAAAAATCAGCTCCCAGGTATCTCACCTGAGCACCCAAAATTAGTGGATACTTGTTTAACCTTATCTTTGTGCTTCAGTTCACCATTGGTAAAATGAGGGAAATATTACCCCTTAAGCTACACAACCCCTGTAAGATAATCAAATATTTGAAAATGGGATATCAATGGTTGCAGCAGAAAAGAGACAACAACTGACTAAATAGTCAGGGTTTGAATACTGTGCAGTAAATGAATCTGGGCCACATCTTGAAGTAAGCATAATACTAACTGAATATCCATCTATCCTCTGTACTGAATGGGGCAGGGGGCATATGGGGGAGAAAATATGTGGCTAAAAGGTGTCTGTGATGCACAGGAGGGAGTAATTACAGTTGCAGAAGCATCTTAATTCAGGCATTTCCTAACTGAGTGCTTTGACTCTATTCTTTTGATGGATTTTGGGGTGAGATTGGAATTTCCAATGTGTTTGGAGAGGCAGGCTGAAAAACATTCCAACACGTGATGTCGTAGTAGTGCAATCTGCATGGGCTTATCAGCAGGATGGGAACTCTTATCTCCACCACACCAGGACTCCATTAGTTCAAGTGACAAAGTCTGTCAGTTGGTAGTAGCAGGCTACCATTCACTATGAGGATCAGCACTAAAGGGTGACATGCTTTCTGCCAGTGGGTTTTGCAAATATACCTTGAACAGCAGCTGGGGAATGATGAGGCTTGGGTCCCTGGAGTGCACTGGACACACTTCTGCCTGTTTGGGCTTTTTCCCCCTTTCTGCCATGTCCCTTCCACTCCCTTGTTTCCTTGTCCCAATCTTAATCATTTTGCCCAGCACCCCTAGTTCCTCTGACTGCTTGTCCAGTCTCTATCAACATCCCTTCATCCCCATTGGCTACCAGTCCTAATCTCCTCATCTCTATCTGCCCCCTCCCAGTTCAATTAAAACAGCCCAGCTGTTTTCAGTCCCTGCACCCCATCTTTTTGTCAAATTTGTCTCTTCTTCCCCTGTTCCTGTTCCTTCCCCTCCACTGGTTCTCAGCCACTGTTTATCTCTGGCCTCCGCTCCCTTTCCCCACCATATCTACTCATTTAATCTCTGAACTTCTCCAGTGTCTCCATCACCTCCCAGGTCAGCCCCCTTCCAGTCTCCCTCCCCTTTCTCTCCCAGATTTACTCCTTTCCCTCCCACATCCAGTTTTTGCCCTGTCTGAGTTTTGGTTGGAGCAGCTCTTTCCCCCAGGTTGTCTGAGCACACTAATGGATAAGTGCAAGTGTTAATCCTGGCTGTGCATCTTAATGGGAGCTGCTACTGGAGCTGTAAGAGGCTTGAACAGGTACATAGAAGGCTAAATCTTCAGCAACTTTTAGCTGTTAAATTCTCTCTTCGCTGAGCATGTGCAAACTGTTATAAGCCTTTTACAGGTTCACAAGTTTGCCACATTTGGACAACTTGTCTTGAGGTTGACAGAATGCACAGGGATTAAATTTCTAGTCTTTTCTCCAAAGCAAGAGCTTTTAAAAGAAACAGTTGCCAGAATTAAGCATGGGCAGAGCAATATTTTGTATGTCTTAGGCCATTCCTAAGAACAAAGCATTTTGGCCACAATATTCAAGAAAAAAATCACCTTGAGATGGCAACATGGAAAATTTCAGCCCAAGCAGTTAAAATTTGCCAAAGTTGCATGTAATTTAAAAAAAAAATGTGCTACATTAGAGACTTGGGTAGTTCTAATGATGGGCAATACTAGCAAGACTTTGAACCTAGGGAAACGAAAAGTGAAAGCACAAAGTAAACCAGCATTTTAACAGGACCCCACCTCTACATGTGGTTGTGGTGCCCCCTTGTGGTCACTTTCATCCTGCTTCTCACTCTATCCAGGGAACTGCCCTATTCCTGCCTGCCCCACCTTTGACGGTAAATTTGTATTTGAGAGGCTGTCCTCAGAAACCAGAGTGGACCTAGAGGTGCTTCACTATTGCCATGTTCATCACCAGGCTAACCCAATCTTTTAGCTCTAACCCTCAAACAGGGCATTTCCCTCTATAGTTGGCCAGCTCACTCTTTAATCAAGTGCTAGGTCCTTCCTCTAGGCTCCTTTTTAACAGTCCTTGCAGTCTGTGCTCACTCAGGGCCTGCAGCTCTTAACAGTCTTCAGTTAACTACTACTCGCAGTGCCTTCCCTGGGCACCCACAGTGGCCTCCCTACTCCCTTCACCCACTCCCATGCCTCATGGCAACAACGAGCATAAGCCCAACTTCTTGTGAGATTCCTGCTTCCCCACAGAGCTCCTTCTCCCAAGATTTACTGGGAGATCTACTTGGGTCCCTTCTGACCCTACATCTGTGAATCTATGATTGGAGCGAGAGTGAATCTCTAGCCTAGGAGCCAGACTTATACCCAGTCACTTGACCCCTTCTCACTCAACACAGCACAGGTGGTGCCAGGGCCAGGTTAACACGTAGGCAAAGTAGGCCCATGCTGAGGGCCCTGAGCTCCAGGGGGGGTCCTTCCCTCTGCAGCAGCAGCGCAAGTGGCTGTCTGCCTCCCTTCCCTTCTCCCCTCTGCTGGCCTTGCTGCTGCAGCAGCTGATTGCCAGCAGTGGCTCTGAGCCCTGTTTCCCACAGGCAGCAGCACCGAGGTTGGGAGGGGGGTCTCAACTGGCACAGGGCTCACAAGTTTGTTTGCCTACAGCTTACTAAAGGGTTAATCCGGCCCATGGCAGTGTTAATTATCTAAATTGGCAATTGGGCATTCAGCTGTTTGCAGTTTGCAAGCTGGGACCCTGTAGCCCTTTAACTCTGCTCCTTGCACCTGCTACCCATTGCAGCTTCATAGTACTGTTTCTGCTTCATAAACAGGGGTTAGGAGCACTTACAAGCAGGAACTGGGAGGTTGGATATAAAAGGAAAAGTGTAGGTGGGACCATAGGAGAATCCTGTGAACTTAACCCTGCAGTGTAAACCCGAGAGATGCTTATTATTAAGGTTTGCTGTAGGTTCTGAGTTATGGGAGATTTTTATTGAGAATAAGATGTGCACAGATTTCCTGAAGTCTCGGTGTGTCCAAAACTGGTCATTGTGCCTTCAAAATCAGTAGAGCTGTCCTGACCAAAAAATGTACTGATTTTTAACCTCTGGCATGTCCACGTTACAGCTTCCCTCCTTTGCATGGTTCTATCAGAGAAAGTGTCAGTAATAACACTACACATCTTCTATCAATGTGACTCTATACTGGGACAGCTGTGATAGGGTGTAGAGTGCTGTGTGATTAGCAAAAACTGTGCATTTGGCCAAAACTGGAAAACCAAATTAACAGAAAAAACATGAGGAACTAAATGTCACATACTTCTAAGGGGTGCACAAGTTCGACTACAGCATTGGAAAATCTTTCTTGTATATGTTCATCTCCCTTAAGGTCCCTTTCCAGTCCAAGAGGTGAAAAATCTTTTGTTTAAATGAGAATTGGATTGCAAGAGTTAGTGGCAGGTGGTCAACCCATTGGTTATCATACAATAACATATGTAATTTAACTGGCAGCTGAATGCGTAATGTTTTGTATACATGCTTACTGCCCTCTAGAAACAGTCACCTGCTTTTTAACCCTTAACCTTAAACTCAGAGCAGCAGTTTGTGTCTAGAAGACTATCCCAAATGAGTTGATTGCTTCATGAAACCCAGGTACATTTAAACATGTCAGTATCCATAAACATGCACTGATGTAACTCCTGGATATAAGGAAGCATTCAAGAACCTTAATCTTACGATGTGTTAATGCAAATAGCATCCACACTTGTTAGTTGGCACCCAAGATCATCTTAGCCCAAAGAGTAAACTTCTTCAAATGGTAAAATTTAATTTCCTTGATGGAGTTTAAGGTGTATCACTCCCTGGGCAATTGAGAATTGTCCAAATGCTAAAGAAAAATATAGTTACAGAATGTGTTTGTAAAGCATTTGAAAAAAATCTGGTTGCCTCTAGTCATGTAACTGCTCTTTAGGTGATCAGCCTGAACTTATAAAATTAAAACACACAGTTCAATAACACAAAATCTTCTTTAAATTAGTTATTTTTGTGGTGTGCCTCACTTTGATATTCCTTCTCCCTGTTTTAAGTTATTTTTAAGAAAAAATTCTTGCAAACAACTGCAAATAACACTGAAGTTCTCTAGGTTCTCTCATTATCTAAAAGGCAAATTTGAAGCCAACACAGAGATCTAAGTATCTGTAAACAGGAAGCGAGTAGGAGGTCAGCCTTCCTGCAAAGCAGAAATAAAGCATTAGGATATTGTGGAAAGCTTACAAGCTAATGAATTTAAGAAAATTCCCAGCGCCATACGACACGCTTGGATTTGGGAGGATGTCCAAAGAGGTCTTGGGTGTCTGTTATAGTTCTCCTCCGCAGTACATACAGTATGTTGAATACTAGAAAGCATCAGAAAAGGAATATTGCTAGTGGCTTGGTTCTGTTGACTGAGGGGAAGAACTCTGTTAGGTTTGGTCTCTACCAGCCTTTTTCTTCTAGTCTCAGTCTTTTAGACATGTTGTAGCACCCCTCGTTAGTAAGTGAGTTTGTAGATTTCATAGACATTAGGGTTGGAAGGAACCTCATAAGATCATCAGGTCTAGCCCCCTGCCTGAGGGGCAGGAAGTCAGCTGGGGTCAAAGGATCCCAGCAAGATAAATGTCCAAATGTTTCTTGAAAGTGTCCAGAGTAGGGGCTTGCACCACCTCTGATGGGAGTGTGTTCCAGGCCTTTGGGGCTCTGACAGTAAAGAAGGTTTTCCTCATGTCCAGCCTAAAATGGTCTTGCAGGCGTTTGTGACCATTGGGGCTTGTCATCCCCTGGGGTGCTCTGGTGAATAGGCATTCCCCCAGGTCTTTGCGCACACCTCTTGTGTACTTACAGGCTGCCACCAAGTCACCCTTGAGCCTGCACTTCTTCAGGCTGAAGAAGTCCCATAGCTTGCAGCCGCTCTTCATAAGGCCTGTTCTTTTGCCTTCTGATCATGTGTGTGGCTCTCCTCTGGACTCTTTCAAGCTTCTCCATGTCCTTCCTAAATTGTGGAGCCCAGAATTGGATGCAATACTCCAGCTGTGGCCTCACCAAGGCAGAGTACAGCAGGAGGATGACATCCTGGGTCTTGCTTGAGAAGCATCGGTCGATGCAAGCCAGAGTTTTTTGTTTGCTTTGCCAGCTGTGGTATCTCATAGGTGGCACTTACTCATCTTGTGGTCGGTCAGTCATGACCCCCAAGTCTCTTTCAGTCCTGGTGCTAATGAGTGTAGCATTGCCGAGCCTATAAGTTTGATGCGGGTTTTTATTCCTGAGGTGAAGCACCTTGCATTTCTCTGTATTGAATGCCATCAGGCTTTCATCTGCCCACCTTGCAAGCCTGTGGCGGTCAGCCCAGATCACCAGCCTGTCTTCAAGTGTGGACACTCTAACCCAAAGTTTGGTGTCGTCACTGAACTTCACCAGTCCGCTTTTGACACCAGTGTCCAGATCGTTTATCAAGACATTAAAGAGTACAGGCCCGAGAACAGCCTTGGGGGACTCCACTAGTCACTGAGTGCCATGTTGATTCAGTTCTGTCAACTACCACTCTCTGGGTCTGACCTCAGAGCCAGTTCCCCAGCCATCAGACTGTGGAGTAGTTGAGTCTGCAGTTGCCCGATTTTTCCATGAGGACGTCATGGGACACCAGATCAAAGGCTTTTTAAAAGTCCAAATATATGACATCAACCTCTTCCCTTTTGTCCAAGTGATATGTTACTTGGTCATAGAAGGAAATGAGATCGCGTGTTGGCTATCCCTCAGAATGTTGCCTTCTGTTAGCCTGTCAAGACTGGTTTCTTTGATAGATCTTTTTCAAAATCTTCCCAGGGCTTGAGGTCAAACTGATTGGCCTGTAGTTTCCCAGGTTGTCTTTCCTCCCTTTCTTGAAGATGGGCACCACATTGGCCCTCTTCAGGTACTTTGCCCGAGTGCCATGAGTTCTCAAATATCCTCGCCAGTTTCTTTAACACTCTTGGGTGCAACCTATCTGGACCGGCTGATTTATGGGGGCCCAGCCTCTCAAGATGCTCCCTCACAAGATCCATGCTAATGGTAGGCATATATTCATCTTCCCCCTGGTCATCCTGCATCATGTTCACCAGGGTGGTCCCTTTGAGCTGGTGAAAAACTGACGCAAAGTAATCATTAAGCAGATGGGGTTTTTCCTGGGTGTCAGTAGTCAGCTGCCCCAGCTGGTTTAGCAGGCATCCAATGTTACCTTTGTTTTTCTTTCAACTCCCCACATATCTGAAGAAGGACTTTTTATTGTCCTTGATTCATGTAGCCAGATGGAGTTCAGCTGCAGCCTTGGCTTTCCTAGTTTGCTCCGTGCAGGTGCAAACCAGTGCAGTATACTCTGCCTTAGTGGTGTTTCCTGTCTTCCATCCATTATACACCTCTCTTTTTAGATGTAGGAGGTCCATGAGTTCCCTGTTGAGTCAAGGGGGTTGTTGAGCCCTTTTACCACCTTTCCTATGGGGGGGGGATGGATTCCCCTTGTGCCTGTAGGATCACTTCCTTAAGGAGCAGCCACTCATCATGAATTACCCTTCCTGTGAAATCATGGCCTCTTGGCCTCAAGAACAAGCCTCCTGAGCTTAGGAAAATCAGTTTTCCTAAAATCAAGGACTACTGCATTACTGGCTGACTTGCCAGCTTTGCGATGGATAGTGAATGTGATCAGCTCATGGTCACTGTCACCCAGCGTCCCTTCGATTCTTAGGTCGCTGATTAGATCATCCCCTTTGGCCAGTACCAGGTCCAGCAGTGCCTTGCCTCTTGTCAGCCTGTATACTTCTTGGGACAGGTAGAACTCATCCATACATGTAAGGAAGCTTTGTGACCAGTCGGATTTGGCCAGGTGCTCATCCCATGAGATGTCCGGGTAGTTGAAGCCCCCCATGATGACCATGCACCAAGAGCATGTAGCCTCGGCCAGTTCCCTGGCAAATTGTTGGTCAAGCACCTGTTCCTGGTTTGGAGATCTGTAGTAGACTCCTACCATTGTATCCCCTTGGCCACATTCCCCTCATATTCTAACCCAAAGGGTCTCCAGTTGTCTTCCCTAGGTGCCAATCTCAGCTTTTAGGGACATGTAGCTCTCCTTCACATGGAGCGCTACACCCCCGCCCTTTTTTTTGTTTAAGCTGATAAGACTTTAGGTATCGAGGAGCCAAAGGATGGTATAACTTAAAGTGCATACTTAACTGTCTCCTGATACTCTTCTTTCATTTCTATCTTGCAGCCCATCTGAGTGAGCTTTCTAAGTAATGAGGTGATGGGACCATGAGAAATTGTAGTATCTCTTCTCTGCCTTTTGACTTAGATTAAATGTGTAGTTCCTGTGCTTTGGAGAGAGGTCCCAAGAAGTTTGCGTTTAAATTGAACTTTTTCATTCTGCCCCTGTGAGTCTGACCCAGAATCGTTATAGTAAAATCAAGTTTAAAACTCTTTAGAATCTAAGAAATTAAAAATGTGGAAGATAAGAAAGAGAAGCTGAATTAGTGGGTTATGGACTCTTTTAGTAGCCATTAGTGGGTAGTGACCAGCAGTTGTTCCTATCTAGATGGGATCAGTGGGTTTTGTGGAGTATGTCAACTAAGTTATCTTCTCTGGACACCTGCATCTTCAGAAGCATCACTTCAGCTAGAACTAATGGGTAGTGTTCTTGGCAGAACAACACTAATGTATCTTGTAAATTGAATTATCTCTTGCAACTGAAACATGTTACTTGAACACAAAGTTGAGACATGTTGATATGGCATTATAGGAAGCTTGCACTGCCATTGCCCATTAGTGGTGGGCTCCAAGGTCATTCATATTAAATCTATGCTAATTACAAAATTGATTCTGATGAAGGGGTGAGTGAAAGCATTGCATCCACCCAAAGTTTTCATAGTTATTTTAATAACTAAAGAATGACTGTGTTGAATTCTTTAGAGCTTTAAAAAAAGACTGTGAAAACCAGGTAATCTCAAATATGTAAAATAGTCATGTTACTGATGTGCTTTTTTTATTTTTTCTTTGCAGATTGCACAAAAGCTGAGGCAGGCACTCGGCCGTTTTCCAGTGATGTAGGAATAAGCAGGGGTGGATGATGAAGAACCTTCCGAAGTGCTTTTTCTGGTTTTGGGGGGCAACACCAATAAAAGCTTGATAGTCTTTGCCATCCCAAGCAAACAATCTGAGTTGCAAAAAAAGTGAAAACTTTAACATGTTTACTTCATCAGCCTAAATGCATCTGAAGCTTAGGTTATTTTTACCTTGAATGCCTTCCCTCAAAGCCTTCTTGTGCTGGAAGGTGCTGTCACGTTTAGGAATTGATATTGTCAAACTAGTCTGTTGCCATGGACTACATTCAGACTTGCAGGTTATCATAAGTTCTTCCAATTTATTCTTACTCAGTGTCAGATGATTAGGTATTTTAAAAACAGGCAAGCAGATAAGGCTGAAAAGTGACCTAATAAAAACCTGCCCTTTGGTATTTTTTTCCAGCTACTAAGTAAAGTCTATATATGTTTTACAGCTACACATTCAAGATAACCTCTTGAATGTTCTGTTCAGTGATCTTTTTAATCATAGGTGCAGCATATAATCGGTGGCATGCAGTTTCCATAACTGGCAAAATGATAGTTCACTCCCTTTCCCATAATCACTTAATATTCTGTTCTTGTGGCACAAAGCTTCAGAGTTTGAGAGTGTTTAGTGCTCTCTCTTTCTCACTTCCGGGTCAAGCACTGTGCAAGAAAACTTTAATTAAGGAAAGAGCCATTCCAGGAAGCTGGAAAAATCTTCTTTAATACCAGCATTCTGACACCCCCTCAAATATTATGCAGCCATACACTGGTGCTTCTCAGTGCCATGTAATGGCCATCTTCCCTCTTTGCCCTCTCAGGAGTCTAAGGGTATTGGCAAAGTATCACTTCTGACCCAGGGTGGTAGACAGCCCAAAATTACTGCCAACTCAGGTCTTCACATAGTAGCATGAAGTGCTACTTGCTCCATTTCAGCTTTAATAAAAGGAAACCTAATTTAATCTGTAGCAGCTAAAAGGAAGAGTTTCTTGTGTAAACTAAAAAGTGACCTTTGAGGTGTTGAATAAAATTGGAATTTGTGTGGCAAATAATTTATTAAAAATAGGACTGTAGTTGTAAATGACGTATAGTGTTCAGAGCACAGAAGTGGTTGCATGAAGTCATTTTTCTTGACTGCCAAAATGCTACTAAAAGTCTGGACTTTAGGAAAAACAGCTTGGTGTGGTTACCAGATGGTAATTCACGTAATGCCACAAACAAGCAAGGATGCCAAAACACAGCTTTTGTTAAAATTTTCCCTTAAATTATTCCTTAAATTGTTTATGTTAATTTTACCCACAAAGCCATTCTAAGTGACGGGTACATTACGTTGATTCTATAGTTGCCTTACTTTATTGTGCATTGCTGTTTCTGTGTCCTTACATTTTTCTTTTTTTTTTTTTTTTTAAATAAAGAAAAATCTGGGTCTGTCTAATATAAAACCAAAAGAAAAAAAAAAAAGCTAGGTCTGAGTCCAGATACTTGTCATAGGTTTATTTCTTATTTTATAAACTCTGTTTTCCCTGCTAATTTAGTTCTCTTCCAAATTCCATAGAGCAGTGTTGTGGTACAGCCATTTAAATATGTACAAATTGTAAAGAATGTGTATAAATATTTTACACCAAATGTAAGATCTTGCCTGCATGTCGAAGCAGCTTATAAAATAAATTGTTACCGTGTGTACAGTAAATTCTGAAAGCACTTTTTCAAGCCAACATTTTTCCAGCATTTTTATGTTCACTTTTTGGTAATGAAAAGCTCTTTGTAACTGACTCTTAGCTGGGGATTTCTTTTTACTGAGCCTTCAGCTGATCCTGATGCACTAAGTTACAGGTTCTGCATCTTTAATAGATGGCTTTGGAATCTAAGCATTAGATGTTCATTCCCAGTGCAGGGAAACTATGTCAGTAGCAACTATGTCAGACATATAACATTCTTTGAAATGAGCAAATCTGTTTAACTTCTAGAAAATGAAGGCCTTTAAACTGATAATAAACACTTATGTATACCCATTTAAGACTATATATTTTCTTTGAGAAGATCCTATTGCTGCTAAAGAGGAAGATGCTGTGTGAGGTACAAGTGTGAGTCCTCCTGCATTGCTTGGTTTTATCGGATGAGAGCTTGGCCAGCAAAGCAACAAAAACTTGGTTTCTACCATAAAAAGGGTAGGCAGGTAGGCAGTTATAATGCAAAATTATGCTGCCCGTAAACAAATCCTGCCCATAAATGAACATCATAAATCTTCTGCCTGTAATCAAACATCATAAATTTTCACTGTTTAAGACAGTGGTCCTCAAGCTGTGAACCCTTTCTGGTGGACTATAAATAGAAAAGAAATTGGAGCACTGAGCTGGGGTATTAATGAATCTCTAAAAGTGAGTTGACCATAAAATTTAAATGTTAGAAGATCCTTGGCTTAATTAGTTAAATGGGGGGGAAAGAAGACCTTTTAGGTTCACAGATTTGGAGAGGACATCAGGGAAAGTTCTAGTAGTTTTGCATTTGCAACATGGAAACTTGCCATCTGTGACCAAGGAAGCATAATGAGCAGTGCATTTATGTGCAGTCATTGCATACTTTATGAAGTAGGATGCCTATAGAAATATCAGAATGCCATAAACAAGAATTTCCTGGCATGATATGCTTTCTCATTAAAGAAACATTCAAATATTGACACTGGGTTCTCTCAGCTCCATTTATCTCAAATTCTGAAGCAGTTTCCTAAAAGAAGCTAAATACTTTGGGAGTGAGTCTGAATAATAAAAGCTGGTAATAAATCTAATAGACATACTGACTGAGCAAAATAGCCTCTCTCTCTCTTCCCTCCCCCTGACCACTGTTGCTTTTGTAGGAAAAATATACAGGAAATGTGAAGGTGGTTTCTTTTGAGTCCAGCAGCCGTTTGTTTGCAGTGATACTTCTAACAGGAAAAAGTACTCTGGATGTGAACTTCTACAGTCCATTTCATAAACCAATCCTGTGCTTTGAAATAATGTCCTAAAATGTTAAAATTAGCCAGTAATCACTTCTCTCTTACACCTGCAGACACACACCCTCTGTCCCTTCCACCTTCCCTTAAAACAGAACGTAATGGATGCCAAACTGAGATTGCTTATGAATTAGTCCTAGCATTTTAAAAGACTTCTCTTCCAAGGTAAATTCTGTTGAAACATTTTTTTCAGCAGAGGTAGAAAGACAACTTGGTTTCACAGTGGTAAATGTAGGTCTTGCTGGAGTATTGATTTAATAAAAGCATTGGTCAGCACAAGCATTAATCAATGTATATACAACTCATAAAGGCTTTGCTGGAGCATTGACCAAAGCAGGTCTGACCAAAGACTGACCTTGCACCCAGGAGAGTCTGACTGAAAGGTGTGGGCCATAGCTGAAGAAGTGTCTTTTGAAGTTGGTTGTTACAAACTTCTGAAAAAGTTGATTGAATGATTGATAAGACTGATGCCGGAGAGTTCAGAACATTCGCACACAAAAATAACGAAAGGGATGAGGATGACAGTAACTCTAAGATGTTGAGATTTGTTATGTAGATAACTGATGTAAACAGAATTTCCTGATCCATAAATAGGGATCTGTTCTATCCCATGAATAGACATTTTTGAAATTTTGCAGGAGGCTTAGGCCAGTGGTTCTCAACCTATGGGTTGTAACCCAAAAGTGGGTCACAATATATGAAAGGGTCACGAACAAACTTTAAAAATGGATTCTTTAAACAAGAAAAACATGGAAAACCATGGCTTTTTCCTTGCAGGCTTGCGGAGTCATCACCCCTGCCCTACACGCAGGGGGCAGTGGCTCAGGAGTGAAGGGTAATGGGTTGGGACTGGCCGTTGATGTTTACAAATGGGTCCTGGTACTAAAAAGTTTGAGATCCAATGGCTTAAGGGCATTATATACACAAGTTATACCTGTGTTTTACCACAAGTATCCAGGACTAACATCTTGTAACCTTTTGGATGGGAGTGTTAGTGAATTGGTGCCTCATAGACAATAAACTTGGCCAAGCCTTTACCACCAAACCAAGTTTGGCCATTCTGGATGTGTCTGCACATGCTATTGGCATGCAGCAATAAATTCTGGCACATATTCTGGAGTTTATTGCTCCTGGGAGCACTATTCAAAAGTGTGCCCAGGACCACAGCATATTGAGTTGGGTCAGAGCAGCACTGGCTGGCAGGAGGCCTGGGTATTCAGCCTGCCAGCCTGGGGCTGCTCTGACATGGTTCAGCGTGCTGCATTGGGGCTGGCAGGGGCATGAGGGTGCTCAAATGCAGAGCTAGCCAGCAGGCAGCCCCCTCAGTGAAGCATCCTCATGCCCCAGCCAGCTGTTTCAGCATCTACACATGTAGTGCTGTAGAGTATATTAATTTATTCCAGCCTAATAGCCCTGCACATGTAGATGTGAGACTTTTACTGTGGAGGTAATTAATCTACTCCACAACAAATGTCTTGTGTGGGTGCGCTCTCTGTGTATAACATCAAGACCTCCAAGGAAAGGCACTTAGAGCATGCTGCAGCAGCAACACCAGTAGTAGGGACACCAGACAGTGCTCATACACAAAGACCTATACTGACCAAGAGAAAAATGAGGAGAAACAGCAACTGTGAAGAACCAGGGCTCTGTGGCAGCTGAATATATTGTAGTTAGAACTGGAACCTGTCCAGAGAACTTAAACTAGTGATTCTCAACCAGGATGTTATGAGTCCCCTTTAAGGGTGCTGGGCAATATTGGCATTGTTAGGTGTGAAAGCACCTACACACTTCACAAGGTAAACCCAGAGATTTCCAATAGGAATCCAGAATGTCAAACCCCCCCTAGCCTATTGTGGTCTTTCACAGTTGCTTGCAACCAAAGAATTGCTCTTTTTAAAAAAAACAAACTACAGAAAAATAATAGAATAAAAGCTAAGAGCCAGCATTTCCCAAGGGGTGCCTTGAATGTAAAAAGGTTGAGAACTGCTGATTTACTACATCTGATATCTTTTGTGTGCCTTACCACAAGTGCTGCTTCTTGGATGAGATGCAATATCCCTAATGCCCATCACTTGTCTAGAATTGTCTAAAGTCATCTCACAGGAATACCCATCTTCCCCAACCCCGTTTTAATCTACATGCCCTTGCAGGATGGCAGTGCAAGTTGGAGAGGTTTGTGTATGTGGCCCCTGGCAGATGTTACATTTATTGTGCAATTGGTATTAATCACACACTAAGTTGTGGCATTCCACATATGCAAGCAATTTATGATGGGATAAAATGGCAAATATGTAATGGGGGATATCTTTGGTGTTGTTTGTATCCTGCTGTAAACTGAACTTGTGGTATGTGTCCTGGACTCACAATGCCCTTTGAAAGGCGTGGGTAGCTCAGCATCAAGGGCCAGATGCCTATGGCCAGGCTCTCTGTGCATCAGCAGTTGCACTATTGGGATCTGAGGAATTTCATCCCCAATCCTAAAAGTTGTGCCTTCTGTTGTGCCAGGTGTGTATGGCAGGACATGCAATTTTGGGGATCAGACAATTCTTCAGATCCCAATTACAGGATATTGACATCCACTGGGGGCCTGTGTATAATATAAGAAAAAATGCAGCAAAATAATTTCACAGCCTTATAAGTAGGGCAGATGCATTCCATAACTGGTTTAAAGTTAGTTTCTATCAGTTACTGCCTGCCTCACTCCCTGGAGTTTTTGTTTTCAAATTTGACTTTTAAAGGAGTTGGGTAGATTTCCCTTGAGCACGAGGATAGTGAGGTCAGAGACAAAGCGTTTGTTCTGTGAGAAATGTGCTTCTAATGGTGAATGTGTCCGTCTCTGTCCTTTATATTTTTTCTGTGATAGTTCATTCTGGTATGTAGTTATTATTTAGTTTCACATGTGTAGTTTCCGTGAGGGTATTTGGTGCATTGGATCAGGTATATCATAATTTGGGAAAGGCATGTTAAAAGGCAATCTTGGGAACAAAAATTCATAAGCTAACTGGACACCAAGAACCAAGGACTAAATACCGATATAGATTTATGGCCCGTTATCGTTAACTCCTGAATACTTTACACACAAGGAGACTGACCCCCTCCCTCATTCCCCCTTTTGATAGGCTTTGATCTCCCAGTACTCAGCTTATTTATTTTACTAACTGTGTGTCTGCTGTACCTGAGACTCTCTCAGCCCCTCCCCTGCACTGTGCTTAACTTGCAGTGCCTAGTTTCCTATAATCAAAGACCTGAGGAAGAATGTCTTGCATTTGAAAGCTTGCCTGACTTTATCCCAACTACAGAATTGTTCCTATAAAAGATATCACTCTAAGAAGTCCTTGCTTTTTACATAATTTCTGGACCATCACAGCTACATGATGTCCAGAGTGATAACATCACTCTTATGCTACTGAATGGTGCAGGTGACAGACTCTGCGATCCAGAAAAGAAGCAATGTTCAAATTAAAACAATTCTGGATTCCTCTAGAAGGCTGTGATGTCAGCTTAAAGAAGTTGAATATATTGTGAAGTCGATTTTAGTTGTCTCTATAGATGTGTCTTGTGCTGCTCAAACTAACTAGTCTTTAGGAATGCTGGTGCAGTCTGTGCAGCCCTTCATTTCATCTGTGTCCACAAAGAGTAAACTGTAACTCCTGAGTGCTGGGAAAGGCTGTACCTAGGATGGTGGAAAGAGAGGAGTTGACACTGGCTCTGGATCCCTGGGCC